CGAACTACCGCCTTCAATAACACATAAAACAGAACAGTTAGCTTGGTGAAAAGTTTTCCTTAACTGGGCCTCGTCAAATAGGGATCCTCTACATAAAGAATTTCAATCTCCATCAGGAAAGAAGAAAGAGTCACCTTCCAATTCCTGTAAGTCCAGTACAAATGATGACTCTGGTAAGGAATGGGGAGTTGACAGAAAACTAAACTTCGGGGGCTGGACAAACAAGCTCAAAGCCAAGTGATTGGTCCAGTTGGGGGACTAAGTTTAAAATCTAATTGGTTTTACTTGATTTGCTTGTGAAAATCACTATTTATAATTAATTATACCCAAATAGATTATTTTCTGCACCTTTTTAAAGAAATTGGCGATTCTCTTAGTATAGAATAGCAATCAACACAAGGCCAAAAATGTAAGAAACTAGACTTGTAACTAGTTCTAATGACACTGATTTGTTATTTTTTGAATTTATACCCAAAGAGAACAACACTTCCGAAATTACTGTGTAACACCAGTTTTCTGGACAGATTTGAATGCACCAGTTTTCTGGACAGATTTGAATGCACCATGATATTCGCAAACATTGGTGGCCAAGTACTCCTACCTAATCCACGTTTCACTCACAAGATCTACCATTATTTTAAATTTGATTTCAAAAGTTGAGATTGTAAATGTTTCTCAAAATATTACAAATTGAATATTCAAAAGTTGATTTTAAAATAATTCCAAATGATAACAAAAGTTTAAATAGTCATATTTTTCAATGAAATACAAATAGTAGGTCGTAACAACGAATGATGCATAGCTAAGTGATACACAACATTGCCTACATAAGCTTCATTTTTCCACAAATTGAGTAGTCAAATCGTGGAGAGACTTGTCAGTATATGCAGATGGATTGTGAAGTCATGTGACCTGGTGCACAGGCTTTGGTTTTCTTGATTTTTTGCTCGATTTTTTTTATTACAGTGACAACTCATCTCTTATTGATATATGTGGGATTCTCAATTCAGAAAGTCACATGGCAGCAGTGAATTAACTGATTTACCTTACAGTGAGCATGCCCTTATTTTGTCCGTATATGCAAATGGATTGTCAAGTCATGTGACTTGGTGCACAGGGTTTGGTTTTCTCGATTTTTTGCTCGATTTTTTTTTTTACAGTGACAACTCATCTCTTATTGATATATGTGAGATTCTCAATTCTGAAAATCACATGGCAACAGTGAATAGTTAGCATGCCCTTATTTTGTCCGTATATGCAGATGGATTGTCAAGTCATGTGACTTGGTGCACAGGCTTTGGTTTTCTCGATTTTTTGCTCGATTTTTTTTTTACAGTGACAACTCATCTCTTATTGATATATGTGGGATTCTCAATTCAGAAAGTCACATGGCAACAGTGAATTCATTGATTTACTTTACATTGAGCATGCCCTTATTTTGTCGGTATATGCTGATGGATTGTCAAGTCACGTGACTGGGTACACAATATTTGCTTTTCTCTATTTTTTCATTCTAGTGACAACTCATACCTTGTTCGTATATGTGGGATTGTCATGCAGAGGCATCTTCCTAAGTTTTATTACAAAATGTTGACAAAATTTATTTTAGGAGCTCTCGCAGTGGCCTTCGTCTTCTTGGCCTACTCCGCGGTGCTCTTCGCGTCTCACCCTTCGTCGTTGCTCGTCGAACTGCATAGTGTGTGGGTGTGTTTCGGACTGTAGAGCATGCATATCACCTTCTAACCCAAAATAAAGACGAAAGAATTTTTTTTTTTTTTTAATGAAAACGAGTACAAAACGGTTTAACTAAACTGGTTTTTTGAATTACATTCTCACCTTCTAACCCAAAACAACGACAAAAGAATAAATATATATATTTAAATGAAAACGGCTTTAGTAAAGCCAAAATAATTTTCTGAATAACACCTTCTAACCCAAAACAAAGATAAAAGAAAAAAAATAAAATTTTACATGAAAACGCCTTTAGTAAAGTCAAAAAAAAATTATTAATTACATTATAACCTTCTAACCCAAAACAAAGACAAAAGAAAAAAAAAATAACATGAGAACGGCTTTAGTAAAGCCAAAAAAAATTTATGAATTACATTATCACCAAAACAATGACAACAGAAAAAATAAATTTTTAAAAAATAAAATAAAATTTAAATGAATAGTGAAAGCTTGGTTTCAATCCATGCTTACTGTAGTGAACAATGAAAGCATGAATTTTGTAAATGAACATGATTGGCTTAATAATATCTAAATGAACATGATTTTCGATTTTTTTTTTTACAGTGACAACTCATCTCTTATTGATATATGTGGGATTCTCAATTCTGAAAATCACATGGCAACAGTGAATAGTTAGCATGCCGTTATTTTGTCCGTATATGCAGATGGATTGTCAAGTCATGTGACTTGGTGCATAGGCTTTGGTTTTCTCGATTTTTTGCTCGATTTTTTTTTTTACAGTGACAACTCATCTCTTATTGATATATGTGGGATTCTCAATTCTGAAAATCACATGGCAACAGTGAATAGTTAGCATGCCGTTATTTTGTCCGTATATGCAGATGGATTGTCAAGTCATGTGACTTGGTGCATAGGCTTTGGTTTTCTCGATTTTTTGCTCGATTTTTTTTTTTACAGTGACAACTCATCTCTTATTGATATATGTGGGATTCTCAATTCTGAAAATCACATGGCAACAGTGAATAGTTAGCATGCCGTTATTTTGTCCGTATATGCAGATGGATTGTCAAGTCATGTGACTTGGTGCATAGGCTTTGGTTTTCTCGATTTTTTGCTCGATTTTTTTTTTTACAGTGACAACTCATCTCTTATTGATATATGTGGGATTCTCAATTCTGAAAATCACATGGCAACAGTGAATAGTTAGCATGCCGTTATTTTGTCCGTATATGCAGATGGATTGTCAAGTCATGTGACTTGGTGCATAGGCTTTGGTTTTCTCGATTTTTTGCTCGATTTTTTTTTTTACAGTGACAACTCATCTCTTATTGATATATGTGGGATTCTCAATTCAGAAAGTCAAATGGCAACAGTGAATTCATTGATTTACTTTACATTGAGCATGCCCTTATTTTGTCGGTATATGCAGATGGATTGTCAAGTCACATGACTGGGTACACAGTATTTGCTTTTCTCTATTTTTTCATTCTAGTGACAACTCATACCTTGTTCGTATATGTGGGATTGTCATGCAGAGGCATCTTCCTAAGTTTTATTACAAAATGTTGACAAAATTTATTTTAGGAGCTCTCGCAGTGGCCTTCGTCTTCTTGGCCTACTCCGCGGTGCTCTTCGCGTCTCACCCTTCGTCGTTGCTCGTCGAACTGCATAGTGTGTGGGTGTGTTTCGGACTGTAGAGCATGCATATCACCTTCTAACCCAAAATAAAGACGAAAGAATTTTTTTTTTTTTTTAATGAAAACGAGTACAAAACGGTTTAACTAAACTGGTTTTCTGAATTACATTCTCACCTTCTAACCCAAAACAAAGACAAAAGAATAAATATATATATTTAAATGAAAACGGCTTTAATAAAGCCAAAATAATTTTCTAAATAACACCTTCTAACCCAAAACAAAGATAAAAGAAAAAAAACAAAATTTTACATGAAAACGGCTTTAGTAAAGTCAAAAAAAAATTATTAATTACATTATCACCTTCTAATCCAAAACAAAGACAAAACAATAAATAAAAAAAATTTACATGAAAACGACTTTAGTAAAGACAAAAAAAATTTCTAAATTACACATTCTAAACCAAAACAAAGACAAAATAAAAAAAAATAAATAAAAAATTTAACATGAGAACGGCTTTAGTAAAGCCAAAAAAAATTTATGAATTACATTATCACCAAAACAATGACAACAAAAAATAAAATAAAATAAAATTTAAATGAACAGTGAAAGCGTAATTTCAATCCATGCTTACTGTAGTGAACAGTGAAAGCATGAATTTTGTAAATAAACATGATTGGCTTAATAATATCTAAATGAACATGATTTTAAAATTATAAATATGAAAAATATTATGTAAAATTAATATATGAAAAGAGACTTTTCCATAAAAATTTAAATGATATATAAATTGGCTTAATTTCCAAATGCTTGGTAATTAGTTAAAAATATTATGTAAAATTAATATATAAAGAAGAGGCTTTTCTCATATTATGTAACACAAATTAATATATGAAAAGAAGAAGTTTTTTTCATATTATGTAAAATTTCTGAGTTACACCTTCTAAACCAAAACAAAGACAAGAAAAAAAAAATTTAAAATGAGAACGGCTTTAGTAAAGCCAATTTTTTTTTATGAATTACATTATCACCAAAACAATGAAAACAGGAAAAAAAACAAAATATTAAAAAAATAAAAAATAAAAAAATAAATGAACAGTAAAAGCGTGACTTCAATCCACGCTTACTGTAGTGAACAGTGAAAGCGTGGTTACAATCCACGCTTCTTTAGCTGAACAGTGAAAGCGTGATTCACAATCACGTTTTCTTCAGAAAAATAAAATAAAATTATATGCACAGTGAAAGCGTGGTTTTGAAACCACGCTTTCTTCAGAAAAAAATTTAATGTTAAAAGCGTGATTTGTAACCACGCCTTCTTAATTAAAAGCGCGATTTGCAATAGCGCTTTCACTATTCATCACATTTTGGACTCCAAACAGTGAAAGCGCGATTTGTAATAACGCTTTAGCCTAGTTTGAAAATTCCGTCCAAACTAGGCTTAGTTTAGAAATTAAGATACAAAATAGGCTTAATATGGGAAAAGCCCCTTGGCCAGAACCCTTAACCTCACTATAAGGCCACTGGTTCGAGTCTTACTGCATGCAAATCTTTTCCCCTTTCTCAAGCTATGGCCTCCATTGTACCGAAAACATGATTATTCCAAACTATAAATTTGGAAGTAAGGAGAGAAACCTCAAGTACTAAGTTAAAAGAATAATTAACTATCTTGAAATCTTATGCACCAACCAACCAGAATGCATTCCTTTGCTCAACTAAAAATGGATTATATACAACAGTTTATCATTTGTGATAATGAGAAAAGGAAGCTATTGCTTGCCCCTCTTAGAGATACATATTGATGAGAATAAAGAATGATAATACATGTCAAGAATTTCCCAACAAAATCCCACGAGAAGTGATGTTAATGGAAGGGGGTCGGTCCCTGCATGGCCATTGACCTTGTTAACAATTTCATATTCATCTCCGATTGCCACCTTTAGTTGCCGAGTTGAGAATCTGTATACCTAAAACACATGGTGGCAAGTTGAACGATTGATCACCAGAAGGTTTGTTAGGTAAACAGCAGTTTGTTTGTGGGTCTCATAACTTTGCGTACTGTCTCCAAGGGCAACCTCCTTCAAAAGCATGATCCAGCACATCTTCCATCCGCTTAGCTAGTAGTATCTGTTGCAGAGAACTATTGTGAAGAATGGAACCATGCATACACAGAAAATGCAGAACAAGAACACCTAAATATGAGTAGCCCCAACCACATGTACATGAGGGGTGAAAAATCCAAACAGGGCCATAAATGTTTGTTGTGTTCACCAACTAGATTATCTCATTATTACAACCATATTCTTATGATCCTGGTTTTTCATCTTTACATATCACATTACAATCTTTAAGATGACCTCTGCATGATACCTTTATTATCCAAACAACTTAATTAGTTCAAATTAATAAAAAATGAAGTCGGATCATTATGTAGTTGCTTTAACTCTCCTTACAAATGCCTCAACAAAATTCAGCATCTTTGATCAACTAGCCATGCCAATACTTGCGTGTTCATGCGTTTTTTGATTTGGAGGAAAGATTTTTATTAAGAGACCCCCTACTTGTAGAGATCTCCTTCCTTTGTCAACATTGAACTTTTGAGTGAGGTTCCTAATCTACCCAAGGTATTGGCTATTGGAGATCCAATTGAGAGGTTAAATTTTACTAGATGGTTTGATTTCTCTATATCGATACATTATTGAGCCAAAGTTTCACCTTCTTTCTTTCTTTTACTTCCCCCCCCCCCCCCCCCCCCCAATTATGTCGTACAACTAGCCTAGCTAGAGACTTGACCAGTGCAGACTAGCAGGACCACTTTCTAGTTTTCACATGCACTTATACACTACTGAAACATCTTAGCCATATGCATAGAACAAACTTGCCTCTAAACTGTCAATCACAGCTGATGGTACTTCAACTAAGTCCTTCAAATTCCTTTCCGGAATGATGACTCTCTTGATACCATATCGATGAGCTGCCAAAACCTGCATAGCATGTATTCGAACAAGCAAGTCAAAAATAATGCTTGGAGCATCATTTATCAACGATGTCTCACACTATGCCATAATGCAAAGAGAATGCATTGAGCACTCCATGATTAAATTTCACATATAAGATCTGCTGCATTGCGCATACATACAATTAAAATTGGATGGTGCTGCAATGTACTCAAAATAAAAAAATAGCATTGGAGAGGAAGAGTGTCAGAAGCATACCTTATCCTTAATACCACCAACAGGTAATACTAGACCCCTCAGAGTCATCTCTCCAGTCATTGCTGTATCAGCCCTTACCCTTCTCTGATTGAACAGTGAAACCAGTGATGTTACAAGAGTCACACCTGCTGAGGGTCCATCCTTAGGTACAGCCCCAGCAGGGAAATGTATATGAATATCCCGACCCTCCAGTAGATTAATTCCCTCCGCAGAAACCAATTTAAGTTCTGCTGCCCTTGATCTGACCTGTATGTCAAGGAAATGTCCATAGAATTAAAAGAAGAAATTATGAACTCTCAAATTACCAAAAGAAACAAAAATTGTTTTACCACAAGCATTTTGTTTTGCGGAATGTCTTGCAATAACACTGCAAATATCTGGCAAACAAAAACTGCTGATGTCTATATTATGTGTGTGAAGCAAAGTCCCACATCGCCTAAGAACTAAAGTAATATTAAGCATATAAGCGTGAGGGCGTTGTCACCTTAATAGTTAGCTTTTAAGGTGAGTTCTACCCAAGACTGTGTAACATGGTATCAAAGCCCGAGTACTCAAGGATGGGTGAGGGAGGGTGTGAAGCGAAGTTCCACATCGCCTGAGTACTAAAGTAATATTAAGCATATAAGCATGAGGGCACCGTCACATTAATAGCTAGCTTTTGGGATGAGTTCTACCCAAGACCGTGTAACAATGTGCATATAAAATATCAAAAACGCCAGTAGACCAATATTTTCATGCAATTTCCAAGTGCAGACCATTTGTGCGTTATTTTGTAGAAGTTAGGTTTTCAGTGACAGTTTCATGATGTTTATCTCATGCAGAGGCCACGAAAATGTTAAAAACCTAAATCAAATATAAGGTCAAAGATAAGAATGACATCTTGTCTTTCTTTTTTCCTTTCAAAACAGAAATAGGTTAGCTCTATTGATACTCATCTAGAAGCTTACATTATTAGAGCCGGTGCGACTTAAATATTTAAAGCATTAACAAGCCCCCTCCAGCATGGCCAAACTATCCTCCATGAGTGGGCCAACATGTACACAGAAATAGTTACCAGGCAAGCAATGAGATTTGAACACAAGAACTTCATAGTACCACTTAACAACCACCTCGTCTAAATACTTTGCGTTATTAGAAAGGGTGACTCAAATATTAATATCACCAACAATCTCTAGAAATTAAATGAGGGAGAGCATATGAGGGCAATAGAGAAAAAATGAAAAAAGCATAAATAAGTTTATAGTTATCCTACGTTTGGCAAGAAGGGAAGATGGAAAGATTGAAGGGGAGATGGAAGTGAGGCTGAGTGGTTTTATAGAGGAGAGTGAAGAAAAAGGGCTAAAGTGAAATAATTAAGTTCATTGGTTAGTTATCTCTGCCATTTTAGTACTTTTATTGTTTTATATTTTAAGAAACAAATGCAAAAATTGAAAGGCTTATGCCATTTTAGTACTTTTAAGGGACTAGTATTGTTTATTAAGACCCAGAATGATGCGGGGGGGAGGGGGGGGGGGGGGGGGGTTGCAGCCAAGAAAATAAATGATGTTACATGGAAACCATTTGAAGAAAAAGATTACCCAGGTCAATGCGATCTGAGCCGATTCTTTGATGACATCACCAAGTTGCCCAGTGAGATGAAGATCACCCTTTCCCACCGTCGCTGTAGCCTCGACAAATTGAACCTCCCCACCAAAAGCCGTCCAAACCAGCCCAACAGATACCCCAGGACTTGAGACTCGTTCAGCAGTTTCTCTGTCATCATACCTTGGAGGCTGAATTCCATTAAAATATTCCAAACCACGGATTTGTTAGCCATTTTACAAGGAACTCAACCAAACAAACAAGCATGTGACAACTTTGTGCCACTTAAAGACTGAATATCAAAACTGATAGTTCCAACTAATCAAATATATGAATCGTCTCCAGAAACATCAAGCTGAGTGTGAACGAAGTTCCCCTAGCTTCTCACAATTATTTCCAAAGTCAAGTATCCTGATTAAAAATATATGACAAGCATACTTACCCCTAATACTTTTTCCAGAACTGCGATATCCACAACAAAAGGTGAGGTAACTCTGAATGCATTTGAAATCTCATGATTGCTAACACCCATTGGAATAACTTCCATTTCAACCTCAGCTCCATCAGCAAGTCTGCTCTCAAGTAGCGGTGAATCAAGCCGGTGCACATCTTTGCTGAGTGGTAAACAATATTCTTGCTCTGCAACACTTACAGCTGCTGCACGAGCTAAGGCAGCTAGCCTCCTCTCCAGATTCCGAACACCAGCTTCTCTGGTATACCTCTGAATGACAAGGTTCACCATAGCCTACCACAGAAATGAATAGATCAATAAAAAATCCTCTGTAAGGTGATTGCAACTATGAGTACGATCATCAAATGATTTTTTCACCATAACATACCACAATAGAAAGAAATATAAACCAACGAAACATGAGACCAAGCATTACATATTCTCACCCAATTATTCATCACAATGCAAATACAGCCATCAAAAACAACCAACCAGTTGATGTAACAAAAAGATTCATACACATGAATGATCATTAGTTCAAAGAGAGAATGATACCACAGACAGTACCAGTATGCACCATCATACATGACCATGTCAAAGGCATATTCTGGACCTCATCAAGCCAAGATGGAAGGATGGTTTAAGTACGATTATTTTGGATGTACTTCATTAAAATTACAAATTTATTACCTCGGGAATTTGCAGGAACTCAGAACTCAAGCCATGCTGATCCAGAACTCGTGGAATGAGATGTCGCATTGCTATTCTAAGCTTTTCTTCAGGTGTATATCCAGGCAATTCAATGACTTCCATCCTGTCTAACAGTGGTGGAGGAATAGGTTGCAACCTATTTGCAGTCGCCACAAAAACCACCTTTGAAAGGTCAAATGGAACATTCACATAGCTGGTAAACTTCGATTAAGGAATCATTTTGGATATGTCCACATTTGCCAGATTGTTATAATGCATAAAATGCAATACTGGAACATATTGAGGTTGATGTGGATATAACAAGAACTTAGCATATTCTAGATGCTTAAATCCTTCTCCGATGAGACAATTTCTACCCAAAAAGTCATTTCTGAAATCTTACCCACAAAACAAAAACAGAGTAATGGACAGCATAGATACTTCGAAGGAAAAAAAAAAGGAACAGACAGAAAATTAAGATTTAGATATAGATTATCCAATGGCATATTCAACAGCCAGATATAAAGTTTATAGCCCCAGAAAGTCAGAAACCCAAGTCATGGACCACAAAGAAGGTTGAGAAAAACCAAAATCTCACCAAGTAAAAAAAAAAAAAGTAAATAGTAAAACACCATCTTGTGAACATGCAGGCAGGTGGAAATGTATTTAAACTTAAACCAGTTTTTTTTTTTTCTAAAACAAATCTTGAATGAAATAACTGGAGATAAGATGGTAGGCTGCCCATAATTTGAACTGAAAGTCATGCAAAGGAACATGTATTTTTAAAAGAGTCGCCATCAATCCAATGCAAAGCTTTGTAGGCTTACAAAGAGAAACTAACAAGATGTTTAACTGAAACACATCCAGAAAGTTAAAAGGATACTGATCGTTGAATGTTTTGTTCTGTTCAGGATCAAGAACTTCCAGTAGAGCAGAAGCTGGATCCCCCCGAACATCAGAACCCGTCTTGTCAATCTCATCCAGCAGCATAACCGGGTTGCAAACAGATACTCTCTAAAATTCACAACATCAAAAAAATTGAAATTTTAGGCTGTGCTTGGTTTGAGTGTGGAATCAAAATTTTTAAAACACTTTTCAAAATTCATAACCAAATACACAACTCAAAATTACTCAAAACTCAATTCAAAAATTAATTTCAAAACTCAACCAAACACACAATTCAAAACTACTTTCAAAACTCAACACCAAAAAATCTTTTCAAAACTCTATTTTAAAAAAAATAAAAAATAAAAAATTATTTTTTATTTTGTTTTTTTTAAATTATTTTTAGAATCATGATTTGAGTGTTGTCTTTTAAAATTTTTTGGATTTATTTTTTTTAAATATTTAAAAATTTTCTTACTTTCACTTTTTTAGGATAAATATTTATTTATTTATTTTAATGTTCACTATATTTTATACATTTTTGTGCCGTATTTTTTTTAATATTAAAAAATTGAAAAAACATATTATTTTTTATTTTAAATATATAATTTATATTTTAAATATTTATATTTTTTATTTTAAATATTTTAATTTATTTTATAAAAATATTTTTAAATATTTATATTTTTTTATTATTTGTTTGGTTACGATTTGAGTATAGAGTTTTGAAAGTAGTGTAGAGTTTCGAATTATATGTTTGGTTATGAGTTTTAAAAATAATTTTTGAATTGAATTTTGAGTTATGTGTTTGGTTACGATTTGAGTGTGGAGTTATGTTTTGAGTTTAAAATATTAAAATTAAAAATTAAAATATTTACAAAATAAATTAAAATATTTAAAAAAATATATTTATATAAAAATTATATATTAAAAATAAAAATAAAATAAAATTTTCTTAAACATTTCTAATATTTAAAAAAAATCCAAAAAATTCAAAATACAACTCAAAATTCAAAAACTCAACTCAAAATACAACTCAAAACTCTTTTCAAAATTCAAAAACTCTTCTCAAAACTCATTTCAAAACACTTTTCAAAACTCATAACCATACAAATTGTCTCTTTTCAAAACTCAACTCACAATTCCACACTCAAATCACAACTCTAAAAAGAGAATCACAATTCCAAAGCTAAACCAAACACTACCTTAGTCTCTCCCCATCCAGCAAAGCCCCATTCCTAAAGGGAAGGGGGGACCTATGTATTCAATTTCCTTAACATAATATTGTAACTAATATCAAGTAAAATAATACGCAGATGAATGGCAAAAACTGTGAAAGCATCCAACCAGATTAATTTTTACATGCCCGCAAACCCACACTGCAGCCATGCTAAACCGTAAAGGGGGCAATGCTGTAATTAGACCACGAAAAGGGTATTCTAATTGACTACTATTTTAATGCATAAAGTTCCCTTTGTTGGTTTCACAGATGTGTAATGTTTTACAAACAGAAAATTTAACATATTTTTGTAGAGCATGACAACTGAATTAAAGCCTTTCACAAAACATCCATCCCAAGATGGCCCTCTATTACAAAAATGCCATCACCAGATAATTATGCTGGGTTTTTCTATATTACTTTTTTGTAAGATTAGAATTTTCCTTTAAAGATGCTCCAATGAACACCTTAAAGGAGATGCAACCGATGCAAATGGTACTCCACTTCTGAATGTGTCTTGTGGCAGTATAAATGCAAACAAAGTGGCCTTTTCAAAATAAAAACAACATGCTTCATTGTTGATGACTTTAGGATGCAGGATCAGTCTATGTAAACACCATTGGGCATAGATGAACTCCTAACTCAAATTACATTGCAAGCACATAATGAATGATTTAACTGGGATTCTGGTGAAAACAACTATCATCAAAACCACTACCTTCAATCCATCAATAAGACGCCCTGGCATGCTTCCAATGTATGTCCTCCTATGCCCTCTAATATCAGCCTCATCCTTGACACCACCAAGGGATATGCGTACAAACTTTCTGCCCAGAGCAGCAGCAATAGATGATGCCAAAGACGTTTTTCCAACACCTGGAGGGCCAACAAAGCACAAAACTGGGCCTCTTGCCTCTGGTTTAAGCTGCAATTCCCAAAACAAACCAAATCACGTTGAATTCGAAAATCAGAACATGACATATTAAATCAACAAGAATAGAGGATTGGTAAACCTTCTGAACAGCTAGATATTCAATTATCCGCTGCTTGACTTTGTCTAAACCATAGTGGTCACTGTCCAGACGCTCTCTTGCAGCCCTCAAGTCCAATTCATGTTCTTCACTGACCTTCTGCCAGGGTAGATCAGAAAGAAGTTCCAGGTAAACACGAGAGCTACTGTATCCAGGTTGCTGAGGTTGCATTTTTTTAAGTCTCCTGATGAAAGAATTTGCAATTGATATCAAAAGCAAGCCACAAGATTCCAGAACTAATTACTTAGAATCATGCAGTTGACCAAGACACAGAACTGTAAGTCAGGAAGAGATTGTAAAAGAGCACATCTTCAGCAAAATCTCTCACAATGTGGAAATTTGCCTTACAGATACTGGGTCCCATCAATGAAGAACAATGTTCTCACAGACCAACTAAATATTAGCAATTTAAAAGCCCAAATATTCAAGAGAATATTCATTGTTACCAATGTACAGGTCAAGCAACACACACACCATTAAGTACGAAAAATTGCATCAAAACTTGTCAATAGTAAACAGAGCTCACTATTAAATTCAGTTAGAGAGGTGAAGATCATAAGTCCCAAGATGCATGCACAGGATCTGAAATGACGTTGTAGCTATTGCAAAGTTGCGAATTAGTTTGTAAAAACTCCAGTTTGAGATGGTTTTGCAACAAAAGAAAACCATAAGGTAACCTCTTCGCTTTCCATGCAAAATATTGGATTATTTTATAAATGCTTTATTTTCAGATGCCCATGTTACAAGTACATCCTAAGATAACATCTTTCATTTGTGTGAAACACATTCAAAGTTATGCATATTGCATAACACATGCAACCTTACACATATTGCACAGTTGGGATCCAACGCCAGTGTCAGAAGTCAATACAATTGACTGCCGTCACAAGCGTTCACATATTTAATTAGTTTTGACTTGAAGAAGTTCTATACAACTAGAACAATACAACTAGAAGTTCTCATATTTGATTTGCTAAAACACAATTATATGTGGTAGGTAGCAAACTTCTCCTTGTCAACAATTTTCCAGAAACAAAGACTTCTTCACACATACCCATGCTGGGTTCTGTTCAATGAAGAATCTTACTACGGTAATGCGCAATAGAAGTTCATAATGGCTCTCAGTTACAGAACTTATGTTGAAGTCTTTACTTTATCAATTATTCTTTTTTATGGTTCGTCTTCATGCATACACCAAAGCTAATAACTAGATAGAGTGATGTTCAAACATAGGAACCAAGGACGAATGCACATCGGCGGGTGAACCAGGTAGGGAGAATGCGGGCTAATGGGGTGCTTCTTTCAACGGAAGTAGAGGTTAGGGATGGTATAGTGGCATTCTATCAGCATCTTTTTCGTGATGAGGGTCAGATATGGCGTCCGGGGTTGGATGGTGTGGTTTTTTATTCTATTTCTGAGGAGGATGAGCCCTTGTTAGAGAGGCTTTTTACTGAGGAGGAGGTCTATGGTACATTACGAAGTATGCCTGGGGATAAGGCGCCGGGTCCGAATGGTTTTTCCATTTCTTTTTTCCAGTAGTGTTAGGGGGTGGTAAAAGGGGAAGTGTTGGAGGTGTTCGAGCAGTTTCATCAAACCGGGCAATTTGAGAGTAGAGCCTGAATGCCACTTTCATAGCTTTGATCCCTAACTGAATGTGTCTTGTGGCAGTATAAATGCAAACAAAGTGGCCTTTTCAAAATAAAAACAACATGCTTCATTGTTGATGACTTTAGGATGCAGGATCAGTCTATGTAAACACCATTGGGCATAGATGAACTCCTAACTCAAATTACATTGCAAGCACATAATGAATGATTTAACTGGGATTCTGGTGAAAACAACTATCATCAAAACCACTACCTTCAATCCATCAATAAGACGCCCTGGCATGCTTCCAATGTATGTCCTCCTATGCCCTCTAATATCAGCCTCATCCTTGACACCACCAAGGGATATGCGTACAAACTTTCTGCCCAGAGCAGCAGCAATAGATGATGCCAAAGACGTTTTTCCAACACCTGGAGGGCCAACAAAGCACAAAACTGGGCCTCTTGCCTCTGGTTTAAGCTGCAATTCCCAAAACAAACCAAATCACGTTGAATTCGAAAATCAGAACATGACATATTAAATCAACAAGAATTTAATGTAATGCAATTTATACTATATTTTAAGAAATAATAATTAGATATTTTATTATATATGATAAAAATTATAATTTATAAATTATATAAATTATATTATATATGATCAATATATATGATCAATAACAAAGACGAAGAGAGAGGGAAGCAAAGACGAAGAGAGAGAAGCACAGAAACGAAGAGAGAGACGAAGACGATTAAGATCAAGATCGAGATCGAGATCGGCAGTGAGAGAAGAGAGTGACGAAGATGATCGAAGCCCTCCGAGACAAAGACGATGACGATCGTGATCAATAGTGAGAGCCCTAATCGTGATTGATGATCGAAGCCAACAACGACCAGGTTCTCTCTTCCTTTCTTTTCTTTCATTTCTTTTGCTGTCTGTAAAGAGCCGTGTCTGAGATAGAAGAGGCGAATCCGACATAGATCCCACACCCACACCCGTGTCGTGTCGTGTCGACATAGGTACTTCGCCCCAAAGTGCCGAGTCCATGTAACACAGGATAGTATGCGACGAAAAAATTTTGTATTACGGTCCCATTTTTCAACCACAAACATCGAGACTTCTGCCGAAAACTAATTTCTTCCATCCGAGCAACCCTTGCATAATCTCTCCGAGCCACATCCCTATCTGCCATAGCCTCCACAGAAAACCCCCCCTCAATTTCCCACTCATCGAAACCCTGCAAAACTGACAAAATGTTTTGCTTCTGAACCTCCAAACAACCAAAAACCTCTACATTCCACCTTTTCAAATCAGACTTCAGAAATTTCAATTTATGAGCTAATCTATAACTAGGTGAACCCACCACATTATAACTCCCCCACCAACTACCCACCCGCTCTGAAGAGCCAGCTGCTTGTAACCACAGGTTCTCAAATTGAAATGGCGAGGGGCCGCTCCGGACACCCCCACTGTCCAACAAGACAGGCCAATGATCAAAAGTTGGACGATGCAACCAACACTGTAGCATATGAGAGAAATGCTCCTCCCAATCCCCAGAAACCAAGAACCTATCAAGACGAGAATTGACGTAGCCACCCGACCAGGTATAACCTCCCCCCTGTAATGGTAAATCTACCAGCTCCCTCTCATCAATGAAGGAAGCAAAATCCCGCATAGACCTCCCACCTGACTTCCCCCCATCTTTTCCACCAGACTCCTGACAGGATGAGTGTTTCAGGATCCGTTTTTTGGTTAGAGAGTCAGTTGTTGATGATATTGCATAATCGGGTTACGTGTTCAATCGATCCCAATGTTTTGGTATTCATAGATTTTGTGGAGGGTTTGATTAGATAGTTTTGTTTTTTCCTTTTGTGATTAGTTCTATATTTGCATCGTCTTGATGCTTTCTAATAAAGTTTATTTATTTATCAAAAACAAAAAAAAACATAGGAACCAAAATATGTATACATATCCTTGTCCGATGTATTCATGTCCAAATGTAAAACATATGTCCCACTCCACAAAAACAAATCATCAGTAATTGTGAACAAAATGTTATATCTTACTAAATCAAAGCATGGTAATAATCAATAACTTTATCTGCCAAACAAAAGGACATATCCAATCCTATTAAGATCATCAAACTTAGTTACTGCAAGTACAATAACCTTTACCTTAATTCCCTTTGTGCATGCTTCCAAGTATCTGGAGGCATCCCTGCATTTTGCATTTTTCTTTCCAGAGAAGACACATCATCCTCATCATCATCATTGTCCCCAAGCTCCTCTTTAATAGCCCTCATCTAAAAATTGCTCAGAAGGAAGTAGACAAAGAAGGAATAAAAATTAAGATAGCACTATAATGAGGTGATGCAAATTATAATGAAATAGTTGAAAGATACGTTCTCCGACCAGAAAAACTATCCAAATATTTTTTAAGAAGAAGAAAAGCCCTAGCTAATTATTCCAAACTCATCCAAAAATCCCCTTCAAGATTAACCATGGTTTTGGAAACCAACATAGAACCTCCATAAATATGATTCTTAACTTCTAGGCACCCACAAAGATGTAGGTAGGTACAACTACACTAGAAGCCAGTAGCCTATATCTCTTCGGCTTACTGTGAAACTCTCGAGTAGAGACATGGACAAGGAAGGCCCCTGTTTTGATCACTTTAACCAGATGTGAAATTTTCATGAATAAAAAATTTCATTTGTGTAATGAGAACACAATATTTTCTTAATGGATGACATAGGAATCTGTTGCAAGAATTGTAGTTCACGTGAATCTTGCAATTGGAGGTGTGGGCCTCAAGATGTATGAGCTGATAACGGAGCAACTCGTAAAGCTTGTCCCCAGAGAGCCCTAAAGACTCACATACGTAATTAATAAAACTTGAAGTCCTGAAGAAAGATATCTAGCTGATGTTAGAAAGAAAACCTGCTGTCGAAGAAAAAATTCCTTCTGTGTCTTTGACAACTGTCCCTCAACCTTTTGTGTAATCTTCTCTGCTACACGAATTGACTGTTAGAAGTATACAGTAATTAGCACCACTCATGGCTCCTTAAGCGGGAAAGAAAAAGAAAAATAGATGCATATGTCATTGATTAAATTCATAGATAACCTGCAAATGCCTGTCAACTAACACAGTTGCTTTTGAAAGCCTAACTTTAACATCAACCGAATCTAACATAGAGAGCTGCTCCTCGAAGCTCATCTCAAAGCTAGCAACAAAAATATCTGCCAATTTGTGCACTGGAACCGTCTCCAGAAGAACTTTTGTCTTCCCACCAGTTTTTTGTTTCTATAACAAGAATGAAATGGAGAGATGTTGATGATAATGACACTCCAAACAAATCACACAAGAAATAAGTACATAACAATTTCATAGATCAAAAAAATAATCATGCTGCTTTGTTGGCATTGTCATTGTTGTTGCTGAGGAACAATGTTCCCCAACCAAGTCAAGGAAAGCCGTGCCAGTTCCCTATCAATCCCACATGATACAACAAACCCCACACCACAGAAGAAAGTAATTCTAGTAAGATATTAATAAAATATGACGAGGTTTACTTTTAACATTCTTTAAACTCAATGCCATAGTCAATATTCTAAACTTCCAGGTTCAGAAGCCATTGCTTGTCTAGAAAGCCACACAATTTTCCAGAACAGACAATTGCATGGAAGTTTTAGGGAATTTTTTCACCATCATGGAATAATTCAGAAAAATAACACACTGGATGCCCATTTGAAAACATTGGCCTTGTTTGGTTTGTGTTTTCTCAAAAAATTTTGAGAAAAATTCTCTACAAATAAGTTTTTAAAAGTAGTCAAACCAAACAAATTTTCCCAAATTTTTTTTCCAAAACTTGTTTGGTTTACAAGTTTTCCAAACAAATCTCTCTCTCATACACATCAAATCAATCACTTTTTCCAAAACTCTCTCTCAAAATAATTTTTCAAAACATCTTTTGAAAAAAAACCAAACCAAACAAATTTTCGTACTTTTTATCTCAAAACATGTTTCTCAAATACAAACCAAACAAGCCCATTATCTTTAGGAATAATACAAAATAGAAAGGTTTCATACAACTGCAAGATTGACGTATCAAAAGAAAGAATTCTAACTACAGAACCGGCTTGGATCCACTGGGAATTCACAGCACTGATAAAAGAGCCTTACTTCACAAAAGGAGCCTTAAGTATTATTTCCATATTTCAATTCGCAATTTCAATGAAAGAAAGCTGTATAATCTACACTATTAGTAGTTTCAGAAATTAAACAATATATTATCAACTCAATAAAAGAACACTTAAAATTATGTTTATATATATAAGAAATAAATTATTTTTAAAAAAACAGAAGGCCTAGTAGGTCCACATTGAGTCTGAAACAGTGGTTGGTAAGAAAAATTCAAATGCAGTACTCAATTGAAAAACAAGAGAAATATCTTAATGAACACTTAGAACCATAAAAAAACCATTTCAATTAACTGGCAAAACAGCCCTAAGGAAACCAGCAATAAAAACAATTAGACAGAACAAAACATGCTTTAAGAGAGAGCAAGTTCTTGTGAGAATACAAATGATAGGTGCAGGGTGGGTGATTGGAGAAGATCTACTCCCACATTTTACCTGCTCAAGAAGGGAGGTAAGATCTGTGGCTGTAGCTTTAAACTGGCGTGACAATGCTACAAAATCTGGATCTTGCTCAACTTGCTCCATCTCTAATTAAGATTAGAAAAATTGGAAGCAACTCAGCATTTTAACAGATCAGGACTTAAAAGCATCATATGCCATACAACCCCTTTCCCCAAAAATAATGAGTTAAAAAGAAGGAAACTATTCAATGTAGCATTCACGCATGTCAATTTAAAGTGTTAATAACTATGGACCAAACCAAAGTATTTCTAAATAAAAGATTGTAGTTCGCTTACCAGACTTTGTCATATCCAAAGGAGCAATCCGGGCATTATAATAAGTTCCTCTTGTACTAAGCTCCTGGACACTGAATCTGCACAAACCTTCTAGGACGACTATGTATGTGACCCTTCCACTTGGTTTCTCCACTCCTCTTGACAAATGTAAAGCTCGAGCTGCGACACCCCTGAAAGTGCACATCAAGCATAATCCATCATATATATATATAGAACTAATCGGCATATGGAAAAGACACCCAAAAAAAAAAGGGAAAGTTGAGTGAGTCCATGATAACTGAAATCAAAGAGCATATCTGAAGGTCACAACTAATTATAAAAGAATGAATGGCCAAATAGAACTGAAAATTACGCTGCAAACAAATTTACTAGGTGCAGAAAATAAAATTTGGCTTTTACTGAATGCAAAACCAGACACCAAAAAGAATGCCCATCAGTTTATACCTGGTATGCCAATGAATGATTTCTTGCTGATTTTTCCCATCAAGCTTGTGAGGATCTGATGTACCAACTTGAATTTTCAAGCTTCCTTCACCTGATTCAGTCCCAACACCTAGAATGGCAATGAATATTTAAATTCTATCAGTAATGCAATGCAAACTTACTAATCAATACTAACACATGCAGTTAAATAATGATCACCTGAAGATAGCATTGGACCCACTGATGTTGTCTCTGTGGCATCCCTAACTGGAACAATCCCAATTAACCCCTTCTCTTCCTTCTGCCATAATTCTTGTTCCACCAGTTTCACACTGCAAAAAGAATGTTGTTTTCAATGATTTTTTTTATTCAAATAACAATTAAATACCATAAATGAATGAATCTTTCTATGCATGTATTCCAAACTACTGCAGAATCAAGAAATCAAAATTATTGAATAACTTCTTCTCACTTATAAAGTTATAGTCTATGGATACTGATCAACCAGCTAAAACTGATCAACACCATATTCAATTACAATGGATCCAAGAGAGACAAAAATATATTGCATAACATCAGTCATCCTCAAATATGTATTGGCAATTCTTCCTCATTGAAACAAGCACGCAGGCAAAAAGAACAATTTCCTCAAAATTGTGGAAACAATTGTAAAGTAATATATATTACACAGAATAAGCATAACAAAATGCTCCAATTGCTTCATAGTTTTTTTTTTTTTGTTTGTTTTTTTTATTCACAAACATTTCCCCGCAACCAAATGGCACATTGTCTTAAACCCAAACCAAAATGTTTTGAAGCAACAAAAATTGCATATAAAACAAATTCAATTTCTAGGGCCTGTAGCACCAAAACCAAAAAACTTGTAAACGTTGATGCCACATTTGACTGCAAAAAGAAACTGACCATCATTTGCAAATGAAGTTGGCTTTACATTAGGGAACTGATCTCAAATTGAGTATCCTAATCCCAATTCTTACGCTTTGTCGTCACAAAAAACGAAATTGTAATTTGCCTTACCATTCTGTAGAATTCAAATTTGTGCGCAGGATGCTTAGAACAATTCTTTTGGGATGAATTAATGCAACTCCAGTAACAAGAATTCTAAAAGACAGGGAACCCTGATAGTGAACTCATGCTAATCTTCCCTCCATGTTTCCATCTTCAGAATATGGCATAATAATAATCTCCCATCAACCTCATTTATGAACATATTGAAAGTTGTAGGCTTCAAAGTTCCTAAAAGGGCCTAAAGGAGGAAGGACTATCGGATTAATAGGTATAAATTCACTGTTTTAATTTTAATAATTGGCTCTCAAATTATTTTCTTCAAACTTGTGATATGTTTTATATGTGTCTAAGCTATGGGCACATCACTCGTGTGCTCCCTATTAGTGTGTTTGGTTGGAGGATTTGGGAAGGCATTTGGAAAAAGAAAGGGAAAGGGTGTGTGAAACTAAGTGAAACGTAGATTTATTTTATTCACATTTCACCTACCTTTTCCATTTCCCCTTTTAAATCTCTCCTCAAATCTCTCAACCAAACACAGCATAAGTGTCCAAATAGTGTATGGCACTAACAAAATCAAAATATATATACATATATATGACACATTTTGGATGTGTTTGACACAGACACATCACTTTCTTAGAAGTGTTTGTGCCTCTTAGTCTCTCTTTTCATCTTTCGCATCTTCAACTATATTTCATTGTTAAATATTTTAGAGTGTGTAGTTCCTTTCCTTGAGCTCCTCCCTTTGTCAATCTTTTGTTTGAGCTCCTCTCTTTCTTTCTTTTTTGAGGTCTCCCACATCTTTTAAAACTTAGCTGATCACATCATCTTTTGTAACACTACTCTACATCATGATACCTGTTGGCAATATGTTAATAAATTATATAAGAATTGAAAGTCATAATATGTTGGTCGAACAAAACCACTTTTGCCAAAAATTGCCATTAACATCCAGTTCAAACCGGTTTGTATCATGAACCAGCTGGTTCGCATGCGATTTTCATTCCCACTGAACAAACAGTGTGTATCTGAACCAGAAGGCCAGAAACTCAGCTCGAACTGGCCAAAACGTGACCAACTGAACATATTTAAATCCTTGGGCCCAGCTCCTTGGTAGACTATATGTAAGAAAATATCTAATTAAGTATTATTATCTTATCTAACAACCTAAAGGACGAGATCTTATCCAACAACTCGCACAGAGTCATACTTGACCCTATCCAAATATGATAAACCAAAAAGTTCCCTGAGAATTCATGCTGACTTAATCATCAAAGTGGCTTCCACCGACCACCGTTGGCCAATCCCAGAAACTCAGGTGTTTGTTTTGTAGGAGTTACAGGAAACTTGCACTACTCATCCCGTCACTGGAATCACTCCGTACGGATTTTTTTCACTGCTAGATATAACTTGAGTTTGGTTTCAAAATGCACATCTTTTTGCGATTGAAATTTTGAAATCTTTGAGCTATATTTTAATTGATTCCTTTTTCATCAGTTTCTTTGAACTACGTACCAAATGTCCAAAACATAAAGCTTAATTTAGCATCCCTAATTTCAATGCTCCACTATAATTCTTCAAGCATCCAAACAACTAAATAACAATAACACACCGTTTGGATGGGGTGATTTGGTGAGAAATGATGATAAAGAAAAACTCTTTTCTTTTTATAAGTTGAGAGATAAGTGGTGAGAAATGATGAAAAATAATGAGAAAGATAACTCTCTTATTGGATCATAGGCTAAGAAAAGAATAGAAATGACTGTGGTCTCTCATCTAGGTGAGAAAATAAAAGTATTGGTTGTGTTTTCTCAAAAGCGAAGCATGTGAGGGAGGGATATGATTGAGATTTCTTTTTCTTAGTTTATATTTTAAGGGACAATCTTGGTAGTATAAATATTTTACAACCAATCAACTTGTTTCTCACGTTTGTTTCTCACCAAATCTCACCGCTTTTCGTGAGAAATGAAATAGGCTTAATAAGAGAGTTCTCTTTCTCGCAATTTCTCATCCTTTCTCACCATTTCTCACTCAATTTATAAACCAAACATGAGAAGAAAAAAAAGTTATCTTTCTTATCATTTCACACCAATCACCCCATCCAAAAGGAGTGCAAAAATGATAAGATTTGGTGAGAAACAAGTTGATTAGTTTTAAAATGTTTATAATACCAAGATTCCACTTAAAATACAAAGCAAAGAAAAGAAATTGCACTCATATCCCTCACTTACTCACATGTTTTGCTTTCTTACTCATTCCATCATAGTGAGAAAACACAATTATTATTTTTTGTAAAACTATCACAATTCCAATTCCAACAAATTGGGAATCAAATTACGCTTTCTAATTCCCTATACCAATCAGACCCAAAAAAACAAACGAAAATTCCTATAAAATAACAAACGAAAAAATACAACTAAAGTTTTCTACTTTTCCAATAATTTTACCCAAACCAAGCAAATTCCAGAAGAATGAAATCCAGAATACATTTTTTTTCCCGGGAAAATCAAAGAGAAAATAAATTGGGGGTTTAAGCAAGGGCAAGTAAATATACCTGCTGGGTGAGGTGCAGCGAATCCGAATAATTGCACCAGGCAACAATACCTTGTTCCTGAATGGAAGAATGGCTAGTCGACTCGGGAGTTCCACCGATTCAGCCATCGTTTTAGCTCAAACAACTTTCCTTATACATACATATATATATAGGTGGATGTAGGTGAGGACGATGGCTTTCTTTCTTGTTCGCAAACTCTTTTCTCTCTCCCCATGATTGAAATGTTTTTTGTATTTTATTAGGAAAGACTATAGTCTATGGCACACATTTATTTTTTTGGCGTTTAGTTTGAAATCGGAACTAAGGTCTATCATAGAATTTATATTAAATAATTTAAATTATTTAATATTTAAAATTTATTGAATATTTTATTTTTCTAAAAAATAATAATAATTGAATATTAATAATTATTTAATTAAATTAAATTTATGTCAATAATAATTATAATTTTAAAAATAACATCTTTTTTTAAGTGAATAAAGTGCTTCAACAAATTTTATAAATTAAATTATTCAAATTATCAATATAAATTACTGATGGATCCACGTAAATCCAACAGGAAGCTCAACCCTTTTTATAATAAGATATTTCGTTTGATTTGATTTGGAGTTGTTTTCAAATGGAATTTTCAAAAGAACACCACACATTGGGCTTATCATATTACAAAAAGGGGGTGAATTATAAGGTCAAGTTTGGCTACTCAAAATAAGTACGCATTTTTTATTTTTTTATCTTTTTTTCATTACATTACCTCTCTACTTTTCTGCACATCTTGTCGTAAAAAGACAAAAAGTGTACTTATTTAGGTCATCCCAAACAACCCCTAAGCCTGTGTTTGGCAAGTGGGTTTGCATGCTTGTTTGGCTATTTTAGCCATAAAAAACAAAATAAGCTATTTTAGCCATAACAAACAAAACATCACATCCAATCCATAATCATTACATTCTTCTCTCACAAAAAAATTCAAAAAAGCCAAAAAGCCAAAAAGTCCTTCCCAAACCAAGCTTTTAAGCCTAGGCTAAAATAGCCAAAAAAACCAAAAAGCCAAAAAGCCAACCCACTTCCCAAACGGAGGCTAAATATATCCCTGAATTTTTTTTTAATTATAGATTATTTTTTATAATTTGAAAAATTATAAATACTTCTCTTACTAAAAAAATTTATTTAACAGAATTAACTAAAAGAAAAATTCTTAATTGCTCTTCTATACAATAATAAAATTATTTAAATTATTAATTGAAACATATTTGTAACATCATTAAAAACTATTAATTAACTTGGTAATTTATTAATAAAATGGACGATTTATTATGAAATTATAAATTTCAAGAGGTAGAATGTAATTTTCAAAATAACCGGTGGCGATTTATATTTTAATCAAACCTCATATATGTATTTGTAAATTACCCTTGCAAAAGTCACCTCGCTACTTATATTGTTAATTAATAATTGTTAGTGCCAAAGTAAAGAATAAGAAAACAAATTTTAGGCTCTGTTTGGTTTTATTTGGTTTTTAATATGTTTTTAGAAAACAAAAAAAAATTATAAATTATAAATTAATCTGGTGAAAAAAAATTTTCTTGGGTTAAAACACTTCTAAATTGGACTTATCAATAAAAATCCCAACAAAAAAAATTATAAATTATAAATTAATCTGGTGAAAAAAAATTTTAAAAAAAATCGTCTCATTTTTTTATATAATTTTATTCTTTGAGAGGGAAAAATAATTTTTAAAAATTTAAAAATACATTTATGATGTTTACTTTCGTCAAACTAATTTTCATTTTTAATTTTTAAAATTCTAAAAACAATTTTAGAAAATCAAACCAAGCCTGGTCTAAAAAAAAAAAACACAAAACAAATTGTAAAATAGAAGGATTCGCATGTGCATTATATTACATATTTTATGATGATCAGGTATTGAATGTGAGCGAAAATCTGAAAATTCTAGAGTATTCTGAAAATTCTAGAGTATTGTTAAATTAGATAAGTGTGAGGTAGGTACTTTTTATTTTTTGTGAAGACAAGGAGAGAGAATTTTTCGTTTACGATTATTAGATTTTATGAATCCCACTAACTGTTAAATATTCTGCATGTTGATTTTTTAGTAAATTAAAATATTGACGTAATGACATTTTGCAGAGAGATACCAAATGGTGCTCTCCCTCTATAGATTAATATATGTAAAGATATTGGCTTTTTTTTTTTTTGGGAGAGTGACTACTTTTTTAGTTTTTTTTTATTATTATTATTATTATTTGATTATTTTAGTAAGTTATTTTAATTTTTATGTTTGAAAAGTTGGGTTGAGTTTTTTGGTTGATTATTATATTAAAAAATATGTTTGAAATGATGTTTGAGGCTGAATGACAAATTCATCCCTAACCTCATTTTTTTCAAAATTGGTCTAACAAAGCAAAATCGTCATTTACCAACAATGGGACAGCTGCCTACACTGTCAACGTGACAGCCCTACTGCCGAGTTGCTTTCCTTCTTCTTCTTTTTTTAATATAAATCATTGATTTAAGTATTATTTGAGATTATCTGACCTTTTTAGTGTTTAAAACTATTTTAGCATCAATCTTGAGTTCCCAAATAAGGCCATTATCATAAAGGCTATTACATATATGTGATAGCTATTATATATTGGGTAAACTACCAATAGGTTCTAATAGTTAGATTTAATTCTCATTAAGTCCTATTGAAAATAAGTCTTGGTAAAATTATCGCCAAAAATAATTTTTTTGTGATAATTTTTTTTATATGTTGTTAAAAATTGACAATTAGTGACTTTTTTTGTCATGATTTTTATAAAGAATAAAGGTTGAGACCCCCTTTGAGGGTCACCCCTTTAGTTTTGATTGGTCAACTTTTCCTTCTTTTTTTTTTTTTTTCTTCTCACCCAATCCCCAACCTCCATGTGTGTGAGGGGGCTGTGGGGTGGGTGTTTTAAGGGGTCTAAATTGTCACTAAAACTTACAATTAGTGACTTTTTTTATGACAAATTTTTTCCATAGAACCTATAAGATAATAAGTATACTTATTAGGACCTACACGTAAGTACCCCTTATATATTCTTATAAAAATATTTATGTTTTTATGATGAAGTTCACAATTTTATATGTAATTTTATTATTTGTAAACAGCATGACATGTTAATAATAATATGATATTATTGTTATATTAAGAGCATCTCTAATGATTGAATAGATAAATAGTTATTTATTTTCATAATTTAACAAATGATTTTTGTTATAATTTTTTTTTAACAATATTGCTTTAATAGTATAAAAATTTCAACCCTTCTCACAAAATATCAAATGAAAATGTTATATGGATTTGGTTTGTTTTTTATAATAACAAAAATCAGATTTTTTTTTTCAAAAACAATGAAAACTAATAAAAATAAATTACCAAAAATATATTTTAAAATTTTGAAAAATTTATTTCTAACCTTTTAAAAGATAAAAATAATGTAAAAATGATAAGTATTTTTTTTTTATTTGTTTCACCAAATTAGTTTTTAATTTTTTAGGAAAAAAAATTTATGAAACAAGTTTCTGAAAAACAAACCAAACATGGCCTAAATGCAAAGATTTATATTTATTTTTTTTAGATTTGTAAATACAAAGATTTTTATTATAAGTAAACCTTGCATTATTTACAATGTTATTTATCAACACAACATTGATGTAATAATAAATCTCATCATTAATAAATCTCTAATAATATTGACAACTAAATCAAATATATTTGTTAAAATAGTTGATGAGTATAACATTATTTGAATTAACCGGGCATTTTTCTCAAACATTATAAAATGAGGTGACATATATGGGGTGTTTGACTAGAGGCTATTTGGTTAAAATAGTTAATAAAGACAAAATAATACAAAATAGATAATAAGGTAAAATGTCACATTCAATTTATAATTATTTTATTTTTTATTTTATAACCCTCAAATCAACTATTATTTTAAACATAACTTTTTTAGTCAAGTTAAAATAATTAAAAAATTAAATAGTTAATTAAAATAGTTTATTACCAAATGGGGCCATAGAGATGCAACAAAATTGAGGGGCCGATTCGGAAATATCAAAAGGCGTGGAGATGTTGCAAGAAACCTGGAGCTTTTCCCTAATTAAGCTAAAATACCAAGTTATTTTTCAAATTAGGCCTAATTTTGACGAATTTTCCAAAATAAGTTAAAACATGGTTAGAAGTCACGCTTTCACCGTTTTTGTAATCCAACCGCATAAAATTTGTATAATCGTAAAAGTATGGTTACAAACCACACTTTTAATTAAGAAAGCGTTATTTCTAACCACGCTTTTAAATAATGAAAAAAAAATTCAAAAAATGTGATTTTTAACCACGCTTTTAAAGAAAAACTGTGTTGTAAATAAAGCGTGATTATAAATCACGCTTTCAATAACAAACTATCACGCACTCACAAACACACACACTCTCTCTCTCTCTCTCACACACACTCACACTCACATCAAAATAAAAATAAATAAATTTTAAGAATTAAATAAATATAAATAAATAAATAATGTTTAAAAATAAATAAATTTTAAGAATTAAACCCTAAACCCTAAAATTAAAAAATAAATAAATTTTATCTCTAAAAATTAAGGTAGCATTTGATAACGTTTACGTTTTTTGTTTATGTTTACAAAAATTTTATAAATTGATTTTTGTTTATTTTTAAAAAAACATAAATTACAAACGCGTTTGGTTTGAACAAAATGTTTAAAAAAATTTAAAAACATAAACTAAAAAATATGTTTGTTCAAACTTAAAATATTTATATTTATATTTATTATTTATGACAATAATATCACACATATTATAATTGAAAAAAAACTAATTAAAAAAAATAATTGAAAAAAATTTAATTGAAAAAAAATACTATTTGAAAAAAAAATATTTCAAATATATTTATATTTATTTTTATTATTTATGACAATGGGATCACACACATTATAATTGAAAAAAAATTAATTAAAAAAAATAATTGAAAAAAATTAATTGGAAAAAAATTTAATTGAAAAAAAATAATTGAAAAATATATTAATTGAAAAAAAATATATTTAAAAAAAATATATATTTGAAAAAAAAATTAATTAAAAAAATATTTGAAAAAAAATATTACCCCTAAACACTAAAATAAAAAAAAAATTATCCCTAAACACTAATGCGTTTGGTTGTGTTTTGTA